CATATAGTACTAACACATATGGACTGACCCAAGTTTCTCTGGCAAAGCATTTTTGATGTAATAATCATAATTTAACATATTTCAAAATTCTGAAGGCATATTTTCTTTTCTGACTAGGAATTTGGAGCTTGCTCCCAGGTTTTTTCTTCTCATTTTCTCCTTTTTTCCCTTTCAGTTCTCTATGATATTTTTGCGTTCCTTGTACTATTTATTATGTACATCACATACTAACCTTACTTTTAAATATACTTAGGCTTTCCTGTTTGCACTTGTTTTTTGGCACTACCTATTAACTCCCTTAGCTTAATCGTCCATGTCTGCTTGTACTAGATTGTTTCCCTTAGAACTCTGTAAGTCACAAAGTGAAACTGATTAGGATTTTACAGTCCTGGTGATTTTCCTTCTGGTATACTACCAAGAAAGTGCTGTAGCACAGGGAGCTGATGAATCATTTTGCAGGGCTTTCATTTTCTATTTGAAAAATTAGGTATGGCCATGAACACGGGAATGTCTGCTAATATCATGAGGACAATACAACATAAAATAAAATCATCAGTGTTAGCTTTGGTCTGTGATAAATGTAATATATCATATTTTTTAGCAAATTGAGTTCCTGAGAGAACACTAATTCATGTAAAATTTTGCTTCTGTAAATTTTAATTGTTTGTACTGGAAGCTACCTAGAATTACTCAGCACCTGCTGCTATGTGTCTGGCGTTGCCCTGGGGCCTTACACCTGTTAAGCCATTAAATCATCACAGCAGGATTGTAAGGTAGGTATGGATTCTCCCATTTTACTGAAAAGAGATTGAAACCGAATATGTTTAACTAACTTTTCTTATGCCATCCAGCTAGTGAGCTCAAAGCTGGAATTTGAATTCTGTTTTTCTGACTGAAACTATAGCAGGCTCCCTAACTTTGTGTAGACACAAAAATGAGGTAAGGCTTTAGTTTGGATTTAGGCATTGATTTTGGATGGAAATGAAGCCAAGTGCTGTTGGTTGGGATGGTAGGCTGCTGGGAATTAATTCAGTTTAGGACTGAGCATAACTTCTGGCAAAGTGCCAGGCTTCTGTCACGTAGTACTGCCAGATCAGAAGGGCTGTACTCATCAATAATTTCATTTCTATGTAGTACAATTCCACTGTATAAGGGAGTCAATCGTGGAGAAATAGATTCATTTTTGGTCATAGTATATATTTCCCCAGTTTGTTTGCTGCACCATTGGCATGGATATTTTATCTTCTAATTCTTGGCATTTGATTCAGGACCAAGATTCCCAAAGCTGGGCTCCTGGCTGGGGTCCAGCATCTGCCATTTGTTCCTGCCTTCCAATTCCCATTCCATACCTCCCACTGATATTTGCTCATATCTTACTACTAGATAGCTTCTAAATCTGAGCTCTCTTTTCTTCAGACCATCCTAAATAATGCCTATTAGTTTTTTTTTTTTAAAATTACTAATTCTGCCCTTAAATACTATTGTGCTTCATTCTCTGTGATTCCATTTGTATAACATACCTGCAGTGACAAAATCGTAGAGACCTAAATCTGAGCTCTCTTTTCTTCAGACCATCCTAAATAATGCCTATTAGTTTTTTTTTTTTTTAAATTACTAATTCTGCCCTTAAATACTATTGTGCTTCATTCTCTGTGATTCCATTTGTATAACATACCTGCAGTGACAAAATCGTAGAGATGGAGAACTGAGAGTAGTGGCTGCCCGGGGTTAGGGATGTTGGGTGAAGGAAGTCAGGAGTGACTCTGAAGAGGATAATACTAGTGACTGAACAGTTTTGTATCTTGGTTTGCTGTAGTGGCTGTGTGATGTATGTGTGATAAAATGATGGAACTATACTATTAGCATAAAGTATGCTAATGTCATTTTTCTGGTTTTGTTATTCTGTAGGTACATAATATGTAAGCAGTGCGGGAAACTGGGTGATATACACAAGACCTCTGTACAATTTTGCAACTTCATGTGAATATGTTACTTAAAAAGTAAAAAGTAAAAAAAAAATACGACTTAAATACTTTAAATGCTATTTTTTTTTAAATACTGTACTAAATAGTATGAAAAGTACTATTTAAATGTTCATGTTCCTTTGTCTGTTGTATTCATTATGTTTCATATTGTCTGTTTCCCTGTGAATTAATCATCCAAAGTTATCTACTCTGATTTTTTTCTACTTAAATCTTATTTGGCTTGTACCAGATTACCAAAAAGTACTTATTGAATTAATAATTGAATGATTAACTATGCTTTATGAAAACAGTATATATCAATATTTGGTCTCACTACTAACCATCCTTCTTTCCTACTCCCCTACTTACTTGGTCGTTCTTGTCTCTGCCTAACCTTTTCCCAAGAACTAAGCAGCATGCCAGGGATTTGACTGGTGGAGTCTTGGGGACTTGGCTTGCCTGGGAGGGTTGGATTGCCTTTTGGTCGTAGTAGCAAAGCCTTAAATTCAGTCACAAATTCTAAAAGGAGGTGACTTCTCAAGGACTTAAGACTCAGTGTTATAAGGGCAAGATAAGCCAGGAAACCCAGGGTATGAACTATGGCAAACCATTATCCATCCATTCATTCAAATTCATTGAGATTTGTGTTAGAACTCATTATATGGTATATCTTGGTGTTCTGCAGTTATAGCATTCTGTGGAAATCAGTTTCAGATCTTGGGTCTTTAATGATTTTTTTTTTTGTTGGGTGCTTCTTTTAAATTACTTGTGCCGTAATTGTAGAGTCATCTGTTGTTCCTTGTAATTCCGTCAGGTTTTGCTTCTTATGTTTAGAAGCTTTGTTATTAGGTGCACACCCAAACTGACCATTTTATCATTATGAATGGTTCCTATACCTTTGTCTTTAGTCTTCTCTATGCTTACTGTTTGCATGGTTTGTCTTTTCCCATCTTTTACTTTTAATCCATCTGTCTTTATATTTAATGTGGATCTTTTAAAGGCAACATAGAGTTAGATCTAGCTTTTTTCCATTCTGGCCATCTTTTACTTTTATTCAGTGTCTCTATCCACTAACATTTAATGCAGTAATTGACATGATTGGATTCAGGCTGTGTTTACTTTTTGTTTCTTATTTATCTCTTCAGCTTTTTGTTCCTCCTTTCCTACCTTCCTTTGGGCTAACTGTACCAAAATGATTTTTCAAATTCCATTTTAATTTATCTATTGGCTTTTTTAGGTATTTATGTGTGTGTACATGTGGGTGTGTGTGCTTGCTCTAAAAATTACAATATATAACCTTAACTTTTCTTAAAGTTTTTATTTAGTGTCAATATTATACTATTTCACATAATATGGAACAACCTTGTAACTGTATATGGTCATTTTACCCCCTCCGTGTCATTATGCTGTGTCATATGTATTACATTCACATATGTTCTAAATCCCACAATGAAGTGTTATAATTTATTTTTTAAACAGTCATACATTTTAAAAACATTAAGGGGAAAACAGTCTTTTATATTTACAATTTCCAGTATTCTTCATTTCTTTTGAATATTTGACTTTTTATCCGATATCATTCAGCCAGGAGAAATTTTTTTTTTTGGATTTCTTATAGTGCAGGTTTGCTGGAGACAAATTTTCACAATTTTCACTTATCTGAAAGTTTCTTTAATTTTCCTTCATTTTTGATGGATATGTGGGCTAAAGATAAAATTCTAGGTTGACAGTACCCCCTCACCAAAAAAGGTCGACATTGATTGTTATTTCCTTGCATGTAATGTGTCATATTTTTTCTGACTTCTTTTAAAAGTTTTTTCTTATAGTTGGTTTTCTATAGTTTGACTGTGTGTGTACTTGGCTGTAATTTTCTTTGCATTTAACCTGTTTTGGGTTTTCTGAGCTTCTTCAATTTGCACATCTATGTCTTCCAAATTGGGAAAATTTCAGCTATTTTCTCAGTCTTTTTCTGTATTATTCTCTCTTTCCTGAACCTTCTACAACCCTGATTATACAGATGTTTGCTTTTTTACTAGTGCTCCACAAGTTTGTGCTGATCTGTTTTTGTTTGCTTGTTTCTCTCTTCTTTCGATTGAGTTTTCTTTTACCTTCTATAAGCACACTTGTAATAGCCGCTTTAACATCATTGTGGACTAATTCCAACACTTGAATCATCTTTTCTCTTGAATATAGATTACATTTCTCTATTTGTGCACACAACAAGTGATTTTGGATTGTGTCATGCACTAAATAGGTGACCATGCTACAAATATGTAGACATAGAACTTAACTTCAAGAGACTTGCAAAATCTGGTTGATAAAGATAGAAAAGTGAACAAATTAGTACATTAAACTCCCATATGTAATATGAGATGAGTACATAAAGACAGTGGGGTTACTGAGAAAGGAGTTGTGAAATTATTAAATTGCAATTTAAAAAATTATTTTTGAAACAACCCAATTCTTCTGAAGGTAGAGGGTACTTTATTTATATTATATGAAGTGGTGATGAAAGATTGGCTGATGAACAATAAATATCTATTAGTTATACTTTCATTATATTTTGTTAATTCTTTGAAAAAGAAGGTCATTTGCAAAAGCACATCGTATTATGGGGAAGCGATATTAAAAATAAATTTTTAAATTATTGTGTGCCATATGAAATAGGATTAATAGATTTTTGGTAAGAAAAGGTGATTTGATATAACCTGAGCAAACAAAACAAATGATCATAAATTAGGAGATATTAGACTGAAATAAAAAGACCTATGTATACTAAAAATGTATTACTCTTGGGAAAAGATATTTCAAAACTGTTCTCGAAAGAGTCATTTAGACTCATTAAAAGTGTATCTTAAAAATCTGTAAGTTTCCTGCGTCACATCTTTTTCATAGAGATTTTCTAATTTGTTTTGGGTGTTATTTGTTTGTACTTATATCTGTGTAAATGAATGGGTAATAAGGGGTTGGTTTTTCTTTTGTAAAAGCATATCTACCTTGGCATAATGTGAGCCCTTTTTTTTTCTGTTTTAACAGTGTGTCCTACTCAGTACATGTATCTGAAGATTACCCAGGTATGCTTTCCTTCTTTTTATATTTATCACAAATATTCATGTCATGACTCCATTGAATTCTGGACTGCATCTCAGGATACATTATGTACCACACAGGTAATCAACAGAATTTTTCTGTATCTTTAAGACTTCCACCTTTGGGCCGGCCCGGTGGCGCACTGCTATAGTGCGCCACTTGGGAAGCGTGGCAGCGCTCCCGCCGAGGGTTCGGATCCCACATACAGACCGGCGGCTCACTGGCTGAGCAAGGTGCGGGCGCAACACCGAGGGTTGCAATCCGCTGCCGGTCACGAAAAAAGACAAAAAGGAAAAAAAAAAAAAAA